GTATGCTACAATCATTACAATAACAGTACATTAGCTGAAATAAATTTATATTCCTATTTTCTTTGACGTACAAAATATGTCCTGTTTCCCCGTCTTTAAGCGTTTTGGGTATTATGAAACAGTGCGTTGGAAATAAACTGATATTAGTCGCAAAAGTACATCAATTTTCAGCAATTCCATTCATCCAGGCAAAATTTCTATTCTGTTACATATAGATCTAGAACAGCTTCGTTCTAAGCGGACCAATCAAATTTTGAAGTCAGTCTGTGGGCGGGGTTAAAGCTTGTGCACTGGGGGATGGACCCGGAAGTGTTGGGCTGTCAACAGCCAAGTCCACGTGCGCTGTTTTGCCGGTGTTGTTGTGTTATCTTGTTTCAGTCTTGAGCAAAGCGCATTCCACCGCGCCAAGCATGTCTCATTTTACATTATTCATTTTACAACCGTGCGGCAAATGCAATAAAGAATCATACTCAGGCAAACATTAAGTTTCTGCCATTTTAAAATCTCACGGATGAAGTTCTTGCAGTTAACATGGCTTAAACCTAAATTTATAAAAACTATGAAAACAGCAGATAAAACCTATGTGATCTGTCGAAAGTAGTTGGAAATATATTTTACAATAGTCCATTCTTGTATTTATGTTCACACAAAACCATCCCATATGTTATTAACAGATTCTAATGTATTATTATTATTATAATTTGTAAGCCTTGATCTTAGCTATATTTAATTATATTTTAATTGAGCAAAAGTTATTTTTGGATGTTGTTTTTCTCAGTTCATAAAGGGACAGATTATTAAAAAGAAAAAAACCTGCAGTAGAATATATTGCTTACATTGCCTGAAATGTATGGAAAGGAAAACCAGTTATTCTATGTTTTCAAACTTACCATCTAGTATCATTAAAATAAATAAATACTAGCACATTTTATTGCAAATAATTGTGTATTGATAGTCTAAAACATATCTCGTACAATAGAAGGGGATTGATTCCTCAAAATTAACCTTCTATTAATATACATTTGTTACTGTAGCTAACGACCACTAGATGGCAATATATGGCTGTGTTTTCTAACTATGTTTATTGCTACAAAAAATTTTAAGTGAACTACACATAGTTGTGCGTTCAGCTTTACTGTCTTTTTGGAAAGAAGCAAAATACTGTCAGCAAAATGCTGCATCGGAGATGGTGCTGTTCTGTGCTGCCCCACAGCAGAAGATCCAAACTTAAAAAAAAAAATAAATAAATCCTTTTAAAAGTATGCAACTGTTAGAAGAAAGCAGTCTTTAGTAAAAAGAAGAGGGAAAAAAGCTGCATCACCCTTGTATACTGGACCACTGATCAATACCCTGCCTCTCTCCCAATGAGGAATGAAGATACCAGCCCCCCATGCCTCTGTATAGAAAAGTGACAATGCATGAATGATGCTTTAAATCCTTGAACTGGTATTATTCAACTACTCCACTAGTTGCTTTGTTTTGATATTAGCCTTCTTAGGTAGGACTTGATCAGCATCCAACATTTTGACAATATGATCCATTGTAAACTTCTCCAAATCATTCAGATTATGAAACCATCTTTGTGCAGAGCCCTCTTCAGGTGGCTATAAAACTCTGTCTTAAACGTAGGTCTAAGAAAAGTAGCTTAAACATTTACTTTCCTGATACAATAAATAAGTGCCAAACTTATTTCCCTTCTCACAAAAAAAAATAAAATAAAAAGGAATTTGCAACAATTTAATTTGAAAATTTAATTTGAAAATTTACTTCCCAGTTATGAATTTCTAATCTTTTTTTCTAAATAAAAATTCCCTAAATGATCCAATTAAATTAATTAAATGAAATAAATTTGATTGGCACTTTCTGAAGGTGCATTGCTCCACCTTGCCCATGTTTTCTCCAGCTTTATCCTTTTCAAGATTTTGATAGAACAAAAAATGCTCCTGCGTGCTTGCCTGCTTTCGCTTGTGAAGACAAATTCAATAATTTATCCTGTGTCACTATCTGTCATTATCTTAGATATTCTAAAACTGTGTCACATCTCCTGGGATGAGGTCAGCTTTTCTCACAGTTGATGTATTTGTGGTTCTACCAACTCCTCAGGTGGATTTTAAATCAATTTATTCACTAGGTATTCTTTAAACACCAACAAGCTTCTTACAATTACGTAGGGCTGAAAAAAATCATATATATCATGATTAATCAATTATTGAAATAATACTATTAATAATACTATATTTAACTATCAATTAATCATTAACTGGAGTATAGTCTCTAAAACATGCTTTAAGTTTACAGAGCAAGCCATTTAGAGCAGTTATATCAAAATTGTAAAAAAATAAATAAAAATTATATAAACATTTTGCATTTAAGAAAAATTAAAAATCTTTTTCATTCGTCAATATGCTCTATCCAGAACTCCAAAAGTGGAAAAGTGTTATTTTCACCTAATTTCATTTAGTAAAAAAACTACTTTAAGGAATCTTTGGCTATTTGAATATTAATCGATTAATTGGAAAATTAAGTGACAGATTAACCAATTAGAAAATAATCAATAGTTGCAGCCCACACACATGTATTTATTCACCAATCCACTGCAGCACAAACCACATGAGAAGTGATTACTATTAGCTGTCATTAGCAGTGGTAACTGCTAAGGAGTGGATGGGACATATTGGGACATGTGTATATCACAGTTATGTAAATCGAAGCAAAACAAGGCAAGAAGAAAGATCTGAGAAACAGGGTCCTTATGGTAGGGCTATTAGGAAGGTCAGGATAACTGAGAAGCAAATCAAGTGGATGTTTGCAGATATGATGCAGTGAGTGGGCCTATGGGTTCAGTGATACCAATGAGTTTGACGTTTATTATTTTAACGTAAATTATTCAATTTCAAAATCTTTTGAACGGAATTTATCTTTATATGTACGCTGTAGTTCAAGTTTTTGTTCTAAGTGAGGCATTTCTGAAACCGAGAAAAAAAAAAAAAGTATTACCAACGATAAGTCATTTTGTTGGTAAGAATTTAATTTCAATTTCAAAATCTTTTGAACGGAATTTATCTTTATATGTACGCTGTAGTTCAAGTTTTTGTTCTAAGTAAGGCATTTCTGAAACCGAGAAAAAAAAAAAAAGTATTACCAACGATAAGTCATTTTGTTGGTAAGAAACTTTGATCTCTATATAGTCAGTAGATATTAAGGTAGAGGGGAGAAAAAAGGAGAACTTAGCTTTGTTACTCTGGACATTGATGGAATTATAGAAAATTATTACGGTATAATCAATACATTAAAACCAATATTTCCCTTTACGTAAAAACACCTTCTTGAATGCATTTACAGGCAGAAAATGGAAAGAATGGCACAAATACGACCACATGGGCTATTCTTACTGAGAAAAACACAAGAAGTCCTCAAAACAAAAATACGGATTTATTACTCAAATGAACTTAAAGGATTAACCCTAACATCCAGACACAATCTGATCCGGGCTGGAGAGTGGAATCTTCCTGCAAAATCCATTTAAACTCCTGGAACAGAACTCCATGTTGACATATTGATCTAATCTATTTTAAAAGACTATGAGGTCGGCTACATTGGACTCGATTCTGTGGTATAATACATTACAGTAGCTGAATACATCAGTAATGTATAAGGAAATCAAAGATTTTATGCAAATGTTTTAAAAGCATTCAACGGCCATTTAGGTTTAAGTTTTTTTTAATCATAATTTAACAGACCTATAAGAGACTATAAATGTTTAGTATCAAACTAAAATGGAGTAAATATAGAAAAAAGCAGAAAAAACAACAATTAGGGTTTTCATAATTATCATTTATTCCAGTTGCTATCCATGTGTAACATCCCAAACCTTATGTTTTGTTCCATTTCAAAAGTCTTGTGCCTGGCCTTCGTTTTGTAATTATAACACCCAGGCAGGAATCTCCAGTCTTTGCTCCCAGATTTGGACAGATCAGGCTGTGATAGTGACCCTCCAGGCAGGCTGCTGGTTAGATGTTGGCAACCATTGAAAGATTCTGGGATCTGATAAGGACTTATTCTCAACAAAGGCTGAAGGTTTCTGTGATGATGGATTCCAGAAAGAGATGGGCTGGCAGAACATATGGGGAGAGCCGGAATACTTGCGCCTACTGGAGCCATACAGCGGTATGAATAGGATGACATTCCATCAATAGGTGACAGAGAGTCTCCCTGTTTTGAAAAAAAAAAATATGTATACATCATAGTAATATTGTTTTGTGATAAAAAGAAAAAAAAGAAAATTCAAATGAGATAAAAACTTTTCAGCAGTTTACATAGTTGATGGCAGGAAGATTTCATACCAAGGGTTTACTTAAGCTTTAAACTGACCACTGACTCACACTGAGCCTGGTGCTGTTGGAGATTTCTTTCTGTTAAAAGGGAGTTTTTCCTCTCCATTGTCGCTATAAGCATGCTTAGTGTGAGGGATTGCCTTCGAGTCAATGAGACGATGCAATCAACTGGTTTTCCTTAGATAGAAAACTTTGAATCAATTTGACTTTATGATCGGTGAACTGTAAAGCACCTTGAGATGACATTTGTTGTGAATTGGCGCTATAGAAATAAACTGAATTGAATTATAACAGGCAGCAATGGTATGTTATATATGGTCAAGATATTTCTGACCAAAGCATAATGGTGAAGGGCAGGAGCCTTCAACATTTTTCAATCCGGAAATAGAAATAGAAAGAACCTTCTTGCAATAACCAATAGTTGAGTCCTGATAAAGTTATGAACATCAGACGGACATCTGAGGGGCTGCTAGCGAGATTTACTGTAATTTGTTAAGCCTAGAGCTTTTTGAATCTCATTTCCGCCTGAAATCATACAATCCATACAAATCATACAAAATGCACAGTTTAGGTCTTCGTCCACTTTTGTTACTTCAGTGATGGTAAGACAAACACATATTTTTTACTTGCTTAAACACTATTGTTGATTTTATTGAATTGTGTAAAAATTAGGCAGCTGAAAAAAAACAAAAACAAATACTGTTTATACATACTCATTTAGTCCTATTTAAAAGTGGTTGAAGGAAGCTCAGATGAAAAATTCATCCTCACACCATTATTTTACTCTTTTATTATCTTAAGTGCATAATGTGCAGAACATTAGACTGGTAGATTTAAAGATTTGGCAAGGCCAGAATTCACTGCATTTTCTAATACCCACCTGAGATGTCAAAGTAGGCTGTGAGAGAGAAAATGGGGCTGAAGACTGCAGAGTTTGAGATGACTGGAACCCTCTTTCAAAATCATTCCTTCCCAGCAAAGGGGTAAATCCACATCCTGTATCTGAAAATGAAAACCTCTCTGGTGTCATTCTCAGCTGTCCTTGCTGAAAAGATGCTCCTACGCTAATGGCTGATGGTTGGTGGTTCACACTTGAGAAATCCAAAGTTGGGAGATGAAATGTACTGAGGCAGGCAGAGCTATGTGATTGTAACATTGAAGAAGGCCCTCCATCTTCCATTACATTCCTTTGGGTTTCATTAGAGCCTAATTCCAAAGAGTACTGATTGTAACAATGTCCTCTGCTAATCCCCATCTTCTTCAATTCAATGTTACTGTTGTTGCTTTTACTGAGGCCGAACATGTCCACATCTCCATCCATCAGCCTTATTGCACTTGCATTCCTAGAAAGGCTGGTTTTCAAAGCATAATTATATTCAAGGTCATTATCTGAATCATCGTCAGTATCCTTTGCATCTGTAAAGAAACAAATAGAAAGATTTTAAAAAGAGAACATATGAAGTTATTATTGTTTACTAATGTGGGTTAGAGAGCTGAACCTTTTTAAGCTATTATGGAACAAAATGTGAGGCCAGTAGAAGTTATAAGATTAAATAAATACAGATGAGTATTAAGGTCATTTTTTGACAAAAAAAACAAAATTAGATTTTTTTTTTTTTATTATTTCATATATGGAATAGTTTAAATATCAAGAAGTTAGTTTTATACCTAAATAATTCAGTTACAATGATAATTAGAAATTAGAAATGTTGTTTGATTAAAGTCAAAATATTGTGGATATAGTAGAAATTGTTGTGTTTTTGCATTAGGTTTGACATGTATGAAGATAAACAATATTTTCACTATTAAAGCCTGTTTTAAAGTTTAGTAGCCAGTTTTTGCACAAAACTAAATGGCTTTTATAGCTCTTTGTGCTGGTCTCATTTAAGTGGGGCTGTTAAAATTTTTTGAACAGCATTCTCTCCATCAGGGGCGGATGTAGGAAATGTGGGCAAGGGGCCCTCTGAATTTACATACCCATTATACAGATACAGAAAATTTAATAGAATAGACATCCATTATCTGTTCTAGGTTTTGTCCCTCTCTTCTTGTCCCTTTTCTTCCTTTTTTCCTCTCTATGTTTTGTACTCAGCTGACTTTTCATGCTGTCTCAAAAGGAATGAAAGATTTTTTCCAAGCACTAAGCTCACTTAGCTGATTGCTCCTTCCTGTGTTTCCAAAAAGGCAAAAGTAAATAACCCAGTCCTTCTTTTCACTGTAGACAAGCCATGATCTGCTTATCTGTTCTCCATTTTTCATTTGGATGAAATAATAGCTGCATGAATTATGACAGCAGACAAGATAGAGGAGAGCAGGAGGCGGGGTTACCAATCTACTTGCTCTGGAGAGCAGAGTTTGGTGCCTTTATATGGATTTTTATCAAAAACATAATGTGCACAAATATGGAATAGTTGTATTAATCATACATGTAAACAGAGTTATATGGCGCCCCCAGGAACTTGGGGCCCTAGGCAAACTGCCTAGTTTTGCCTAATGGTAAATCCCCCCCTGCTCTCCATACAATCTCTGTTTTAGGCGCATGACTTTAAAGGGTTTCTTATGGATGAAACTTATTTCAGAAACAATTATTTCAGAAACAAATTATACAATTTCAAGAAATTTTATAATTTCTTTTCAGATTGCTTCAGAAAACCTACAATTAGAAAAGTCAATGATGCAATCAGTGACTTTTTAAGCTGCTTCTGCTATCAAAAGAGAAATTTAATTCTGCTTTAGATGTAAAAATCTAAGATTAGCTGCCTAACAATACGGTGTTGGGAAGTTAGACATTAGAAAATGGGGATGATGTTATAATAGAAAAGTGCAAAATAAAAGTGACTAAAACAAACTGGACTGTATTTGCAAGTTTTATGAAAAGTTATGTATCCTTAAATGTCTAGATTGTGGTACATCCTTGATACCAAATGTCTAGATTATGGTACGCAACCTCTTCGTAGGTTAACTCACTTTCACAGGTTTGTGAGGATATCAGAGGGCTGCTGACCAGTTCCAGAGGAGAAGTTAGCGGCTCACTAGCACTGGGTTCGACAGATGAGTCATCAGAATCAGCACTGTTCTGGTCTGTTGCACTGAACTGTTTGCCCCTGTTTGTAAATACAGTAAAACCATATAAACTGGTTAACCTGTGAGAAAACGTCCATAAGTTCAATTAGTTGATTCTAAATAGTACCTACTTTCTCTCTCGTCTGCCATTCCCAGTATCTCTGAACCCTTTGGCAAAGGGATTGTTGTCAATTTTCAGCTGAGTTATCTAAATAGGGAAGGAGGAAAACTTGTCACTCAATTCTAACACAATGACCCACAGTTCTATTGTCAAAACAGCAAGAATTATACCTTTTCGTTCTGATAGGCAGTGACAGCAATGAACTCAGTTTCTGGGAAAACGTATGTCCTAAAGGTGCTGTATGGCAGCTTCATAATGTCATCAGCCCTCACAATATGAAACCTGGGTTGGTACTTATGCATGGAATTAAGGATTGTCTGAAAAATCAAGAAGAACCATAAAGTAGGCAATCATATCCATACTTCCTTTTTTTACTATTTCAAATCTGACTCCTACTTACAAATCCATGCTTATCTGAGATGTTGTTGGTGAGTTTGAGTTTATGAAAAGCAACAGGCTTGCTCATCCACTGCTCTCCTTTTGACGGGCTGTCTGGGTGAATGTACATGCGCTTTGGCATCTCCGGGTCAGCTTTTCCGGCCGCTGTCCATCTGGAGTTGTGAAACCTGTAGCGGCAATCGTCAACAGCGACAATGTCCATCAGCAGGATGTATTTTGCGCTTTCCTTCAGCCCACTCACACAGATTTTGAAGGGTGGAAACATCCTCCTGTTGCAAAGATTAAATACAGAAAATAATTTAAAATTAAAGTTATCAAACTGAGAATATTTGCTCCTTAATTTTTTATGTTTTGGGCGGAGCTAGAGGGGGGGCCCAGGGTGGCCATGGCCACCCCTACCCAATCATTGGCCACCACTGTGGCCAGCCCTACCATTTTTGTCCCATAATGCTGACAGTGGCAGCAGTAATACTCTGCGGTGGAATATTCAAAACATTTTAATTTTTCATAGATTAACAATTACTTGACAACAAAAACACTGTTGTTAATTATACACATCAATATACTAACATTAAAGATGATAAGTACAGAATTTATGCTCTTTTCAGAACTACGGTAGGTTTTTTTTATATGGGATTAAGAGAAAATGCAAGTCAGCCTTTAGTTAAATCATAGATAAATACAGAGGCATAGCTGGAACATTTTTATAAGGGTGGCCAGGCAATAACCAATATAAACTGAAGGGTGGGTGAAAGCGGGTCGGCACCAGAACCTTAGGGTCAATCTATACTGATCCAACAGGAAAATGAACAACCACAGCATCCATGTTTTCCAATTAAAGACAAATTATACTTTCCTGCAGCCTTTGCTAGCAAATAGATGCATGTATTTATGTTTTGAACTACAAACATGAAAAGCGTTTCCTCATTTCCTAAATCAATAAATATATATATATTTATTTATTTATTTGACATTTGGATTACTTGCCTCCCAGATTTTGTGATAACCATCTCAGTCCCCATCTTGTAAAATTCACTCCAAAGATCCTTTGATTCCAGTGTGACATTGGGATCGTCATCCATCCATTGTTCGGGTCCTTCAACAACATTTATGGTGCGAGGACGCACTGGCCGACTCCGGAGCCCCGCAGCTGCGCGCAGCCGTGCGTCAGCAGCTCTCCGCTCCGACAGGGCATCAGGGAACGCTGCTCCCTGAACTTGGTAAGGATAGTAAGCCATTAGAACCGCAGGAATAAAAACCAGAAGCCTCTTAATCAGCGTTGAACTTTTTGTAGCGTAACCAGAAAGTGTTGAAAGTCTGTATATGTCGGTGAAACGTCAACGCCATCGGTAAACAGAGCACGGCGCACACGGGTATTATACGTAAATACGTAAAAGTTATTAAAAAAAGCTATAACAAACAAATAAACGAATAAAACTGCAAACACAATTTAAAATTGAAAAATTTAGATGTGAAATGTAATTTTCCTTGTAAGTCTTGCCTGTGGATGAAACCAATCTGAGGAAAGCGCATCTGTTCTGACAAGGGAAAGGACGTGGAGGAGGGGTGCGCTGGTTTTAAGCCCTCCCGCTAATTATGAGAAATTCAAACATGATTTACACAGTGCGTTTACAATTTACATATAAGAATAATAAAAAGAATAAATAAAAAGGTGCTTCTAAGGCCGAAAACATATTTGAAAAACTAATTTAGTTATTATTAATCATTAACTGGAGCATAAAGACTCTGAATGCCATCAACTATAAGAGCAACCCACAAAGAGCAGTAATTATACTTGTTCAAAAACTTTTTTAAATATTTTGCATTCAAGATAAACATTTTTTCTTTCAAAATGCTCTATCCAGAACTGTATTATCTTTAGCTTCACCCGGTTTAAACTCTGTATAAAATCGTATTAAAGTAATCTTAATCTAAATAAAACTTGGATTTCCAAAATAATCATTAGTTCAGGCCTAGTTCATTCCTTCATCATCAATAACAACTAGACTCTACCATTTCCATCTTTTATTGTCGCTTTTGAGTTGGGGTGCTCCCTTCCTCTGTTTTATTTGAACAAATTTAACACTGCAAAATCATAGCAGATCAATTTACAACCTTTGAAGTATTTTACAACTTCATTAGATAGCATAATGAGGAGGACACTGTGGATAGGGTTTGGAAAGATTTGCAATTATACATTTAATACTGATTAGTTTATCATTTCATCAACAATAACAGCTCAAAAGATGTGTATTATTTGCAGTACATTAGATGTTCCCAACAAGTTCTACACTGTGAAATATTTTAATCTTTTACTTCTTTGATAAAAATGTTTTAAATAAAATCAAAACTCAGAATTCAGCGTCTCAGAAATCTTAAATACTTACTTAGATGATTTCAAAAAGGGTGTTACATATTTCAGGAATTTAAAAAAGATGTCAATTTCTATGTACTGACATGGTTTGGCCTCCTGAATGCATTAGTCCAGCAAGGTGTGGAAGAGATCAGCCAGTGGCAGTGCAGAGATTATATTCATGCTCAGGTTGCTTTAATAGCAGCCTTCAGGTTTCCTTTTGTATTATCAGGTGTGGTGTCTCTCGCCTACATTCTCCTGCAAAAAACAAACAAAACAAAAAACAAAGCATTTTATGGGCTTCAGCTCAGATCCGTTCTATGGCCATTCAAGCACCTTAATAAGATCACTGCTAAAGGCACCACCCGTTGGCAGTGCCATCAACAGCTGCTGGACAATAAAATCAGTCTTTTATACGGTTTGTAAAGAGAAGTAGGAATTTAGTTCTCAAAATTTGCCTGGTCTGCTTCGACTGGTTCTTTCATTCCTTTTGATTTTTTATGAACATTCTTTTATTCAGCACTAAGTTAACCAGCTGTCATGATGAGGTTTGCAAAGGGAAAAAGTGCACAAACTGACAGAAATGGAAATGAGCAGAGTCTGTAATGATAAATAAACAAAGAACTTGGAGGGAACTCAAAGTAAGAACAAGACATGGAGCGGTAGCATCATAACAAGAGGAGCCAGTAAAGAATATACTGAGGTTGGTGTAGAAAACCGCATTGGACTGGTCTGTTGATTTTACTGTTGTCACTGGATGAAAGGTATGGTATACAGCCTGGATAGTTTGCCAGTTTATTAAAAATTTACAGTCACTTCATGTAGCTAGGTTACATTATCTTATAAAAAATTGAAGAATTACAACACAAGGAAACCTTTTTTCTTCCTTTTGGATAACCCTTTTTTGATCTGGGAGTTGCCTTCTATTAGTTTTGGCTGCTCGTAGGTTTTCCTGAACACCATAGCCAGTCGGCTTTTAATTAAGGATGTTCTTAGGGATCAGACTGACTGTTCTACAAGGACTGTCACCCTTTCAGTGCTAATTTTAGGAAGACTAAAACAGCCTCCTGTGCTGGCCTTCGCAAAACAAAAAAATCAGAATCATATTGAACTTTTCTGGGCTATGCCCCAACACCTCATATATGTCAGGAAACCGATGAGTTTAGATGTGCTCTAAATTACGTCAATAAAGTTGCTCAATTATCCATAAAGAATTATGTCCAGACTTTGCAGATGGCTGCAACAAATATATGCAGAAGTTGCAAATTCCAAATTGTTAATTCAGAAAAATAGTAGGAGTGAGGAAATATATTTAACCCTTGTATTCTATCATAGATTAATAAGTCATTTATGTCCCATTCAGCCATTTTGATTTACTGGTGTCTATAGTTATTAAAATGTTGCCCTATTAGTGTTTGCAAATTGTCTTTTTTTAATGTCTTCTTACATTTTTTTTTAATATCCTTACATGACCTATGTAATTTTGACTGTTTTTTTTTCTTTTGCTAAAAGCACTAAAGCCAAAGGGATATTTTATAGTAAAACAAGTCCATGCCTTGAGGCATCTGAGAAAAAAAGAGGAGTAAAAGGTTCCACAATGCTGAATAATACATGACACTCAGTGTTATGAGCTGGAGTGATTCTATGAAAATAGAAATATTTAGAATATAAATACTTTGTTCTTTGGAGGGGTATGTATTTTGCCTTTAAGATAGGTCTACATTTAGGCACACTTAGATTTTTATGTCTGTGGTGGATTTAGGAAATCCGAAATTATAATGTCTTAGCTGTGTACACTTTGAAACCTAAAATACTGTAGAAACATCCGAGTACTGCAGCAGGGAGTTGCTAACCTGGCATAAGCCGGATTGATACCATGTAGAATTCAAATTGGACTACACATATCGTTCTGGGAAGCCTCATGTAGAAAGTGTTTGCAAAGGGGAGGGAAATTAAGTCCAATTCTTTGAGTTGATTGGGTATCTGCCTCCCCTGTCGAGTCTTTGGCCAATCACAGCAGCAGTAGTAGCTTTATTTGTTTCCCAACTTGATGAGTTGATTGATAAATTAAACTCTTTCCACCTCCGGTCAGGGGGACAACCCAAATATCTTTCCCATCCACAAAGCCAAAAATAGCATTCTTGGTCATTTTTCAAAAAGTAATGACTGGCTGATTACTCATTTCGTTCTCCTGCCTAACTCTGCCCTTTTTGTAATTACTGCTTATCATATCCACCTGTTCCAGCTTTTATTTAAACTGCTTGCTCCCGGTCATCAGTGCCAGATTATTGTTGAACTTTTGGTGTGAGCGATTTCTAGCATAACCAATTGTGTTCTGATTGCCTGATCCTGACCGGTTCTGACCCTTTGGACCACTGAGCCTGCCTGTTCCTGGTCTGATCTGTTTGCCTGACCTGTCTCCTCCTGCTGGATTCTTCTTGTGGACTGTACCTGGATCTGCCTCCTGACTTCGTCCTCTGGATTATCCTGCCTTCCTTCGTCTGCATGGATTTGATCTCCGGTCAGTTCTGTAGTCTTAAAGGCTTCTGCGTCTGGAATTCTCTATGCCACTGCTGCATCTTGTCAGCCATCAAGCTGGAATGAACCTCGTTTTCTGGGCTCGGACTGAACTGACTAAAACCAGAGATTCCTGCGTTAGACCTTCTAGCCACCGCTGCTACTGCCGATCCGCAGTTAATTTTTAAATAAATGCTTTTGAAGTAATCCCACTATCTGTCTTGCCTTGAATACTGGGTCTTCCGTTCTGAGCCTTGACAAAACAGCCATGTTTCGTTTCTTTCAGCCTTTCACTTCTTGTTGACCCTGTTGGCATTATATAGTATATGTCACTGCATTTTATTGGTATAAAACATTTCTGGCTCCTGGTAAGATGTATTTTTATGAGTTTGTGAATTCACAAATCTCACAACAATTCTTCTTACTTGCAAGGTAATGGAAGTGCACCCATTAATGTATTTAAACCAATACCTCCAACACACTTCATACCAGACACCATAGAGAAATCAAAAGATATAAGACAAGATATTAAGAGAAAATGTGTAGACTTCCAAAAATCTTGTCAAGATGCAACTACTCAGTTACCTGAAGATGTCATGTTAATCTGTTTAAATGCTTATACATTTGAATAAAACATGTAAATATCCAGTTATTCATCTTCAGAGAGCCAGAGAATAGCATCCTAACTGTGTAGTGCAGTAGTGGCAGCATCATGGTGTGGGGTAAACTGTGAAGTACAGGGGTGGAATGATCATGATGTGGAAGCGTATTACTGCAGAAGGGACAGGTGAACTTTTAAAAAAGATGTCATCATAGAATATGAACTTCTATCTAAAATATTTCAAGACATGAGACACAGTTAGCTGAACTGGCCTAGGACATTTATTATAAGTTATATCAGGGAATCTAAAGAAATTAATTTATAAGGGCAGATAAAGAATACTTTTCAGTTACTGTAACAAGTTGGATATTATCCAAAGGATTGAGATCCTGCTTTAATCCTGTTAATGAAACCAGTTGGTGTCTGATGTGGCTATCCGTCTGTTGAGAGTATCAGCCTGACCCCACTTGGCCTAAATATCCCCATAGACAGACTGAAGGTGCTTCATTCACTGTTCATTTTAGAGTTAAACAATGCTCTGTAATTTTATTGTTTTAGGACTACTGAAAATCATGTCTGAATTATAGTTGCCTTGTGCCTTTTAAGTTTCGTATTTGCTGTATTTCTGACAGTTGCTGAGGAGAAAGTAACCAAACTGAATTTTTAGTTTCATCTGAAATATGTATAAAAATCTATATAAAACTATAACTTTTAAAGGTATCAAAAGTTATATAAAAAAAAAGAAAGAATACTGTCAGCTAAAGAAACAGTAACAAGTATTATCTTTGATGTATTTTATTAACCTTGGTATTTTCATACGGTTTTATATCAATAAACTCAATCGTATGCAGTAGCTATGAATAAAATTCATTATTCATGACAAAATAATGCAGAGTATCAACACACACTATAACTCGCTTATCAAACAGAATACAGTGGAAATATTCATATTTTTACCATAAAAATTGATTTC